ATTGTCTAGTAAGGCAGTGGAAACTTCACAAGTAAAACAGCCAGCTTAGGGAACACAACTACATCAAAAGTTGAGTTTAAGCATAGAAAAAACACCATAGAAGATGGATGCAAGAAAGAGTCAAACATTAATGACACCTATTAACGCCTGTGAAATAATATTGATTACATAAGAGATTTTCAACGCATTTGTACCTAAATGCTTAAAAAACAGTGAACCTATTGTTTCTAGATTTAAAACTATATGTTTAATAACAATAATCAAAAAGGTGTGCATCTTGAACGAGTTTTAGCCAATAAACTAGGACGGTAAACATCGCTTCATACCCACAGAGATTCGCATAGAACACATATAGTCACTAGGTTACCAAATAGTAAGGACAAAATTGGTGAAGTGGACACCTATTGGACTACTGGATTCATGCGGGATTTCAATAAACTTTAAGATAATTTTCGTCACAAAATGACGTCATCGACTAGAGAAACTATCAAAACCAAAGACAATTAGAGAGTTATATTGTCCTATTCTACGAATCTCAAGACCTAACCACTTAACCATTCGCCAATAAGTCAAATATGTCATGGGCTACTGAAAAGATCATATGAGATACAGCCTACACAAAATTTTGAATGAGCACAGAGTTCCAATCGACTTTAGGTACACACTTCTTCCAGGATCTTCAAACAGAATAACAATCGACAGCGCATCGCATAACTCAACAGTGTTCAAACTGAGGAAGAAACCTTATGACATTTCACCATCACTTACCTATCAGCCCGACCGAAAGCTGCTACCTTGACGTGGTGGTCGGGCTTGAACACCGCAATGACCTAATCAAGCTATACTGGCTGAGACTTATGTCTCTTGAGGTTCTACCATGCCAGGCAGGTTGTTTGGATAGCGGTTAAACAAAAAGCAGCTACCCATCCAATACCATGATCCAAACAAATTCACAAAATTTCATGCCGGATCGGCCGTGGCCCGGATTAACAACGACCGCGCTTCCTGCTGCCGTGTCACAGGGCGGGAGTGATAAGTATGCTACTGAGGCACACAAAACAACAAAGAACGAACAAAAACAGGCCGCGTGTGACCGGCCACAAGCAGTTGTCCCCTGGGCTCTGCGGTCACGCAACCAACTTCCACGGTGTGGGCAGCCGGGAAGTAACAATCGCCCTCACAATCCAAAACGCACACAAAACCTCTCTAATCCTCACTTATCTTTGTCTTCATCTTCATCTCTATTACCTTGCCTTCCCCCCAGTGATGCAACTCCTCTACTTGATGGCTCCTCACTCCCTCTTCACTCTGTGTCCACTAAAAACGACGAAAGCCAAAAAACCACCACGGATAGTCTCCTAAAGCCACGCCACCAATTTCATATAGGAGCATTTAATGTTAGGACACTTTGCCAAATAGGACAACAAGCATCACTAGCTAAGACCCTGGCATCTCGAGCCATTGATGTATGTTGTGTTTCAGAAACACGCATACAAGACCCAAGTGTGGTTATTCACCTAACCCCACCTGGCCAACAGGATGAATCTTCAAAATTCACCTTGAGGGTGTCAGGAGATGCCACAGCTAGTTCACGAGGATTAGCTGGCGTAGGGATAGCTCTGAGTACTAGGGCAGAAAAGACATTGCTTGACTGGATCCCGGTAGATAGCCGAATGTGTGCTGTCCGTCTGAACGGATCAGTAAGAAGGAGAAAGGACTGCACTACTCGCCGATGCCTTTTCGTAATCTCCGCCTACGCCCCCACTGACTGCAGTTCGGATGAAACGAAGGATGAGTTCTACCAAAAGCTGTCTAGTTTGGTGAGAAAGGCTAAACGCTCAGATATAGTCGTTCTAGCTGGTGACTTTAACGCTCAAGTAGGGAAATTGTGTCAATCTGAGAAGGATGTCGGTGGCACCTATGGAGTTCCGTGCCAGCGAACCGACAACGGTGACCGTCTCCTACAGTTCTGTTCAGATAATCATTTGTTTCTTGTAAGCACTAACTTTAAACACAAGGAGAGACACTGTTTAACCTGGCGACCCCCATCATCAAACCAACGCTGGACACAAATAGACCACATAGCAATAAGCTATCGTTGGCGTGGGTCGGTAGGAGATTGTCGCTCCTTCTGGAACACGTGTGTAGATACCGATCACGCACTGGTCCGGGCTCGTGTGTGCTTACGACTGAACGGACGTAGGAAACAGCTGGCGGTAAAACCATCACGTCCCCAGCTCGATCAGGAAACTAAATCCCTATTTGAGGAAGAACTAGCTAAACGCATATCTGAATTCGACAGCTGTGCTCACCCTGGAGAAGCCTGGAAGAATATTCAGTCAGCTATAGATACAGCTGTAAAAGCTGTGAATAAGGCAAATCCAAAGGTGAGTAAAAACCACTGGATTTCGACTGCCTCATCCGAACTGATAGATGCTAGAAGACTTATTCCGGCGAGCTCCGAATTCAATGAGGAGCGAAAGCTGCACAAAAGGAAACTTACTAAAAGTCTCCGCAAGGACCGTGAACAGTGGTGGGTGACAAAGGCGAAAGAGATGGAAAAAGCATTGGCGATAGGCAACACTAGGCAACTCTTTAGACTCATCACAGAATCGGGCGGGAGAAGGCAATTCATAAGTGAGACTATTTCTGAGAAAAATGGCTCCTTAATTAGCTCTCAGGATAGACGCCTTGAACGCTGGAAAGAACACTTTGAGGAACAATTTAACTTGCCTACAGCCACACTGAACCTCCCCGCCATCCACCACGTACCCGAATGGGATATAGACACTGGTCCGCCGTCTGTAGGTGAGGTTACAAAAGCTATCAGTAATTTGAAACGAGGCAAAGCGGCAGGACCCGACGGAATTATTCCGGAGGTGTTTAAATATGGGGGTGACATACTAGTTTGTAGATTAACTGAGGTACTAGGCAAAGTCTGGGAATCAGAGACAGTACCATCAGACTGGGGTAAGTCACTTATTATACCGATATTCAAGAAGGGAAACAAGTCCTCGTGTGATAATCATAGGGGGATCAGCCTAACGAACATAGTCTCTAAAATCCTAGGCTCAGTAATCATGCATAGACTAAGCAGAACTCGGGAGGAACAGACAAGGGAAAATCAAGCAGGCTTTAGACCAGGTAGAGGGTGCATAGATCATATCTTCACTCTTCGACAGATTCTAGAACATAGACACACTTTTCGGCGTCCAACAATTGTCATATTTCTTGACTTGAAGGCGGCCTTCGACTCCGTGGATCGAAAGGTACTATGGCAATGTCTGACTGTGAAGGGAGTGCCAAGAAAGTACATTGCACTAATCAAGGCACTCTATTCAAACTCACGTAGTCGTGTAAGGGCTTATGGGGAATTGTCATCTGAATTGGTAACAACCAGTGGTGTCCGACAGGGATGTCCACTTTCCCCATTTCTGTTTAACTTCATCATAGATATGCTAATGGAAGTATCCTTAACTGAACGTAATGACTTAGGAATCGACTTGTTACCAGGGAATAATCTAATGGACTTAGAATATGCAGATGACATAGTCCTGTTAGGGGAGGATGCTGACAAAATGCAGAGTCTTCTGAACACCTTGAGCAGCAATCTTCGTATGTTTGGCATGCGATTCGCCCCTGCAAAATGTAAGATGCTGCTACAGGACTGGACCACGTCAACCCCTAACTTAGTGATAGGGAGTGAAGTGATAGAACATGTTGACCACTTCACCTACTTGGGAAGTTGTATTAGCACCAACGGACTGATTGGCGATGAAATCTCAGCACGGATCCGAAAAGCTCGAGCTGCTTTCGCTGACTTACACCATCTCTGGCGTAGGCGTGACATCCGGTTATCAACCAAGGGACGTGTGTACTGCTCATCAGTTCGCTCCGTCCTTCTCTATGGCTCTGAAACATGGCCAATACGCGTTGAAGACATGAAAAGGTTGACTGCTTTCGATCATAGATGTCTGCGATCTCTGTCTCACGTTAGGTGGTTTCACAAGATAAGTAATGTTGACGTTAGGCGTAGAGTGTTGGGCAAAGAGGGAAAATCAATCGACGAGGCTATAAAGTTACATAGACTAAGATGGCTAGGTCACGTGCTGCGCATGCCTAACCACCGCCTCCCCCGACGGGCATTGCTAGCTGATATAGGTTCAGGTTGGAAAAGAGCCAGTGGTGGCCAAACAAAAACATGGCCTCATCAATCCATGAAATCCTTGACAGTTAAACTGAGTCAGGTAGGGAGATGCAGACTTCCGGGTTGGGGCCCTCGGGACTCTAGGAATCAATGGCTGGAGACAATAGGTGACATGGCTCAAAATCGTTGTCAATGGCGCAGATGTATTCAGTCTCTGTAATCTTTCATATTCCTTTCTACCATTACCCATTCTGTTTCACTCTTATGCTTGTCAAACTCTATTGATTCTCTTCACTCATCTTCTTGTCTACCTCTGTGTGCTATTTGGAACGTGGCAACTCGAACTGCTGCACTTCGGTGCCAAGTTCTATGTTGAATCCAGACAGACAGTAAACTTGGAGACGTGACAACATAATCGAGTAATTAAAACAATAAGAAATGCGGAAAATTTAATGCATTATGTTGGATAGGAATTTAGACAACCCACTGACACAGACACACAATGCAATGTGAGTCGATGGCGTAGAGGTAGAACGTTCGCCAACCATGCATATGGTCCAGGTTTCCATTGCCGGCCGACGAGGGCACTCCTAAACTTCGCTTAGCTGGTTATCAGCTCAGCAAAGAAGGAAGGTTGGGCGTGAGACTAGCAACCCAAACCCATAAAAAAAAACACCACTGCTACCAAAACTGCATAGCTCTAGCTTGAAGCCCTATGTTCCAGTAGGAATAAAAATTGATATAGCCAATCGATTATAACTTTACAGACTAGTGCTAAATTCAATAATATTTAAACAAAACCAAAATGAACAGCGTTAGTTAGTAGATTACATAATAGAAATAGAAAGCTTACTGCAACAGCACTATGATAACTAGTTCCACAACCAATGAATATTAGTCGATGACACCGGCGAATTGAACTTAAGTGTTCAGCTAAACCGCCCAATTTCACTGTATTCATATCAAATTTCACTCGACCTCTCATTGTATTCAAAACTGAGTCCGGTTGTTCAAATATTTCTTTTTGCATGAAATAGTCATAATTACCTGTAACCACAAAAAAAACAATAGTTATAAAAGAAAGAGGACTGAAAATTAAATTCAAATTTTGAAAATTAATAAGCCGTTTAAGACAATCTACACAGGGATGAAATTCCGCCCTAATTTCCTTTGGAAACCAAATGAGATTCTGATTACGGTATGTGATCAGTTTCATACAATAAATGATAGGTAATAAAAGAAAAAGAAAGCATAGATGTACAGAACTATATATGAGTTACTGATCGAGATGAGTAGTAGTCAACTGTTCCAATTATGTAGACAGTATCGTTTCAACTATTAGCGACAGCATGGATGACGACGTCAAATCTAGCCAAGAAGGGGAAAGCAAAACAAACCTTCATTATTCTGAAATCAGTGTGAAAATCAAATTTCACTCAGTCTAAAAAGAGACAGCTACGGATTGACTATACAACAATCAATGCTTCTAAATGGTTCAGAGACCTGATGCATTGGGAAAAAGGATTTTTAACGGGCTGATGATTTTCATCAACATCTGTTTGTCTTCGTTCCATAACGAAGATCAAAAAACATTAACAACGAGGAACCCTGGTAATCAATCAACCTAGAAGCTATTGACAAGATGGAGACGGATTGGAGACACGATTCGGAGACCGTTGAATGACACTGCGCGTCATGACCTCGGATGAAACTCTAAATGGGAAATACTAGTTGGGCATGAGTCCGACGGTGACATGGAGGAGATTGAATGAAGAGGGCTACAGAGAACAGGATGAAATGAAGATGTGCCGCTGAAAACGGATGTTATATCTGAAACCTAAGTCAATATTAATAATAATGAGAAATAACACCTAGTCGAAACCAAGGAACTCTGCATCTAATCACATGAGTAGTACATCCCATAATTCTAAAAGCACCAACTTCAATTCAACTATCAGTGTGCGTCGGTGACACAGCAGTTAAAACTCTCACTGACCATGCACATGGTCCGGGGTTGAATTCCCTGCCGACGAACACCTGATATCTATGGTCGGCCTGCAACATTTGGGCTACCGATATCGCATGCTGGAAATTCCATACTTGTACCAGATATACGGTGTGGAATCAAACTATAATCGAAAACAAAATTTTTGTTTCCAATAAGAAAGCATTGGCTGGCTGGCTGGCTGGCTTACCCTTCATAATTTGTTGTAATTCCATTTGTAGGGTGACAACTTCACGTGTAGCAGAAGCACTTCTTGATAAACGATGAATTGTCAGTTGACCATTACGGACAGCAGCAACGTCGTCATCTTCTAAAAAGATAACTTTATCTGTATGCTCAATCAGTGCACTGCAAAAACAAAAAAATAAATAAAACAAACATTGTATAAGAAATTAGTTAGTTATCAGGAAATAAAAAGGTAAACTAATCATAACTCTTAGTTTGAGTAATAACACGAAAAATGCGAGTATAACCACCAGGACATTGGATGACTTCGATACTTAAATTTTACCAATTTTCTAAATAAAATTTTATTTAATTAGTATTTAATTGGTGGATGGTGACTAGCAGTGGAATCCAGGATGCGTATTTCGTCCTATTTGGGACTCATCAGCTGGATTATTCAGATAACAAGTGATTTCATTTCACACACTCAGGAAATTGTGATGGACAAAGAGGTGTCCATCTAGGTCAGCTATGCTTCAGTTCAGAGTATGTCTCATTAAATTATGTGTGTACAAGAAATAACAAATAAATAGATGACTATAAATGTGACTCAATATTAGTCCAGTAACAGCACACTGCGTCGGTGGCACAGCGGTTAGCATGCTCGCCGACCATTCACATGGTCCGGGGTTCGATCCACGGCCGACGAAGCACTCCTTTACCTCACTTACCCAGTATTAAGATTGGTAAAGAGGGTGGGTTGGGCATGAGGCTAGCAACCACATCCACTGGGAACGTGAAGGAAATAAAAAAACAGCACAATAATATATTCTGATGACTGTCACGCATACTTAGCAAACACTTTTTCAATGATGACTTAATTTAACAGTTACGACACACTGATGAGTTTAGTAGACCCTCTTAAACAACTTAGTCAGCTTTCCAAAAGTCTCTATCCTTAGAAATAGTTGTGGGTAAAGTGTATTACAAAATATCCCAGTATTCAGGACTTCAGCTCAGATGTTGACTTAGCTGAATTGATCGATACACATTAATCATGGGACACTGTTCATTTTAATTAACAGAAACAATTATTTCATTTGTTGCGATATTAATGCTCGGGATCTTAACATAATACTTGGTTCATTCACTATTTTTCCGTAATTAATATAATAATAATAATTTTTCCTTCACGTTCCCAGTGGAACATAGGGCTCCAAGCTAGTGGCTTGAAGTTTCTGTAGCAGTGTTTAATTTTTACAGGATGGGGTTGCTAGCCTCATGCCCAACCGTTCCTCTTTACCAGGATTATTTCTGGCTCAGTGAGGTAAAGGAGTGCGCCGGCCGGGGATCGAACCCCGGACCATATGCATGGTCGGCGGGCGTCCTAACCGCTATACCACCGACGCACCTTTCCGTAATTAGCGTTACCGTTTTGTGTGTGTGTGTGTGTGGATATTCTTTCGATTTTGATAATCTTCTCTTTATAACATAGAGAAATGTGAATTCGTGATTAAATTTTGCAAAACACAGCAATCCCGTATATACAATCGACTTGGAAAGGTGTGTTGCTTCCTCAACGAGTTGAGAGTTATTGATTTTCACGATCTTAACTAAAGCGAAGGCTAACCCGATCAACATCTGATAGCTAATCTTGGAGGCCTCACTCTGACTACCGATCTCATCGATATGGGGTAATGTAAGTTAACTAGGCGAAGTTATCAAGATGTTAAGACTAAACAATTCAGAAATCTTCGTAAGAACATTGACGGTTTTCTACGTTGACACACACACCCACATGTTTATTCTCCAAAATCTTCGAAATTTCTGTCTTCATTCACCTTCATTTACTATTTCCTTGTGCGATCACTGTTATGTTTTTTCCTGTAGACTATTAATCATTATATAATCTCCCTTTATTTTTCTGTGCTGCTAAGAAGTTGCACTACTTAAATTAAGGAACCGATGAGCAAGCTTCTAATCTCGCCTAGTTCACTAGCTCCATAGTTTTCTAACGCATCCCAAGCCTGAGAAGGGGGGGGAGGGTTGGGCGTAGGGCTAACGACCCTAGCCCAGAGACTTCAACACAAGAAAATCAAATGACCAGAAAGAATTAGCAACAAGAAACTCTGGCGGGGAACAAACCCACCAAGAGCCAATTGCTCGAAAAATACGCAGAAGAAAGTGGAAATGGATTTGGCAGACGCTGAGGAGACCGTCGAATGACATCCCACGCAATACAGGTCACAGGTCGAGTCGAATCCAAATGGGGAAGGACAAGTGGGTCGTTGTCGGTGCGAGGATGACACGGAGGAAATCGTGGGATTCGAGTAGGAGATGCGATATTTTGGGCAATCGTGGTTCCAGGTGAGGAGGATAGTAGAAAATAGAAGAAAGTGTAGATATGTAGTTGAAGCCTTATGTTCCACTCAGAGCTCAAGGGAATAATAAGTCAAAATGAATAATAAATGAGCAAGTTTCTAAGAGTGCGTCGGTAGTTCAGCGGTAGGACGCCGGCCAACCACGCAAATATTTACTTTTTGAATATAAGAGTAACCATAAAAATGTAAGTATTGCAATGAGTACGCTTTGAATAGCCTCTTTTATATTAAACTTCACTACATAAAACCTGCTTACCTTGCACAACTTGCAAAGAAAAACTCAATTTCTCGATGACCATCTGCACCACTTAAAAAATGTGTCACTTGATCTGGTGTCTCTGTATGTTCTTCATCATTGACTTGAGGTCGAATACTGTAAGTTGTGTTTGGAGCTGTACAGCAAGATTAAAAGGCGTAAAATAAGGAATTAAATGGGAATAAGCAGACTGAATAAAAAAACAAAATTCATGAATAAATAAACACTGTCGTATGGGTAAAAGCCTAACTAACGTATCTATCTGCTTTCGTAGACGTTGGTTATAATAATGTCAAACACCTCAAGCCTTATACACACATATCTCTTTTGATGTGGTTTTGTTCTCTGAGCTGGATGGTTAGTTTGCGAAGCTTTCATCGCCCTACTGGGTGACATTTTCAGCACATACTTCAATTTGAAGTGAGCTTTTAGGTTTCTCCACGAGATTTTTTTGGAATTTTTAGAAGCTTTGCATTCCAGTGAATCATCAATCAATAGATACATCGAGATAGACAAAATTTATCAACCAATAAGAAAGAAACTTCACACACAAAGGGTCAAAGTTTAAGTCACAGAAACAATCAGTTCCAACACAAGTAACCTACAAGGTGTGAAAACACACATAAACAACCAATCACATCCAAGGTCACCAGGAGAGATGATTAATAAACTCGTGGAGAAATCTAAAAGCTCACTTCGAATTGAAGTATGCGCTGAAGATCTCACCCAGTAGGGCGATGAAAGCTTCGCAAACTAACCATCCAGCTCAGAGAACAAAACCACATCAAAATTATCCACCTGAGCTACAAATCTTCTCTATCATACACATATCTCTTTAAGGATTATTTTGCTTGACCTTCTCCTGGAGAATGCCAGTCGATTAATAGCTGCACTAAACATCTGACTGAATCTGATCAGTCTGCTTCACCATAAACAGTAGGGTTAGATGGGGTCGCCCACTCTCTGTTTCCCTTTAACTCGGCCATCGAGTACATTCTGGAGTCAGCTCTGAAGGACATGCACAGTGTTGGCCGTGAAGATCTGCTCCCTAGAGACAGGCTTTCTAACCTTGAGTATGCAGAAGATATTGTCTTACTGTGCGATAGCAGCATGCAGGCTGCCTAAATCGCACTTAATCAGTTGGCGACCAGTGTCTGTAAGTATGGTATGTGCTTTGTGCCGTCTAAGATTGGCAGGAGCCTGTACCTGCACTCATTCTTGCAGGTGAACCGCTTGAAGTTGCCGATAAGTTCATATATAGTGGTCCAATGTATACTTGTTTTTTAACTTCATTCATCTTTTTCAATGTGTCGCATAATCCAGTCGATGACAATTAAGGAGATCATCAGACACTGGGCAGTTTTATCCTACACTTAAAGTGCTTCAATTGAATAAATTACCCTTTTTTACTCAGTAAACGACTATTTTGTATTTAGAATGAATCGATCATATTTTATCTGAGCTTACATGAACTGCAAAGACGTTTAAGGTTGTGTGAATCTTCTTTTCCCTCCCAAAGTTTTACTAAAGTGAAAACAGAAATTAAAGTATTTTAATTGGAAGTCAAAAATTTAAACTATCACACAACTTATTAGTCTGATAAATAGCGTACGTGGTAGATTATAACAACAATAATGTCATTAGTAAGAGTTAAAGTAATTTAAACACTGCGAATTCAATGATCAAGCAATGTATTTATCTGATGTAGTGTTAGGACAAATTGATGACTGATTGAATACCTCAGTAGTAATATCCTTAGCCGTAACATTCAGTGATATGAGCATAATTCTCTCAGCAGACAATCTTTTCCCGGAGATTGCAGACGTTCCTGTCCACTAAGGTGAATCACTTGATACAGGTTGCTACGACTGATGGAAAGTATTCGAATTATCAAATTACTGCGGACACATTTTAAAAAACCTATCAAATACTATATAAAACGAAGATTCTGACTAATAATTCCTATGATATCGTGATTCTAAGCTTTCCGTAAGCAATATTAGTTTTATGAATAATACGGTAACAATAGACGAAGAGAGACTTGGTAAAGGAACGTTTATTTGGAATTTGGTATCGCTATACGGCGAAATTGCGTATCTTCCGTGTTATACTACTTCTGCCCTTCCTTTGTATTGTGCATCTTTATGTTCCTTTCACGTCTCCCATGTATCTCCGCAACGCTGTATCATTTACTTTCTCTGACATCAAATCTATCTCCCTGCTGCTTGATGTTTTTATGCCAATGAACGTCTCTTTATATACTACTGATAAATCTTATCAACAACACTCCACACAATGCAACGTCTATTCTTGAAAATTGTAATTCAAAGCTTAGACGCACTCACGATATGACAACATTAATGAATAAGAGGTTACATTTCACTATTAATGACAACAGACAGCGTCAATATGAAGGCCGACAGACACAGGACAATTATTTTCTCCCAGTAAGCAACTCTACAGTAAGAAATATAGAATTCAGAACCACTAGTTTACGAAGCGAACACTTTGTTGTTATCCAGACGATAAGTCAGTTGGAACCCACGACTTTATGATTTAAAACTTTTGACTGGTAAGATGCACTACTGAAGACTACTACATAGGCATCAAAAAGACGTCTGGTGTCCCTTAGTTTTCATTAGTTCTCCAACAATGGGGTCTAGGATTTAGGCTTCGCCTTATTTTGGATTCGTCAACTGAATTCAAATGTAACCCCCTCCCCCCGTAGGAAAGAGTACCCATAGTGAGACTCAGACAAAGCATGCATTGTTTTGAATACCCAAATCCATCGGCCTGATAGCCTGATGACTCTCTGGAATACGAAAGTGGGTTATGAATTCAAGTTTCACTAGAAACATCACCTACTATGGATACAAGTACATCCAGTCTCGAATAAAACGAAATGCACTTCCTGGGCTCAATTGCGCTAATCATCACCAACCAAAATAACATCATGCTCACTTTTAGACATCATTGAAGTGCCCGTACTATGAGCCGATATGTCAACAGAAACCGGGTATTTCAGTTCAATAAAATAACCAATCAGCGAGAAATACAAATTAAGTGAAAACATATTTATTAGTTGTTCATAATTCTGATTGGATTAGAAGAAGATGAAGACAAAAAGAGGAAGCTGCTGGATTGTGAAAACAACTACAACTGTGTGAATATTGACTGAGGCCTATGAATCAGTAGACGTGTGATGTTGATTACCAGACTAGTTAAAATAAAAAGCAAATAAGATAAGATATTGATTGTCACATACCATTTGGTCTGTAAAATACAGGGATATGGTTCATGGTCAGTTCATTTGGACTTTTGATACCCACTAGCATAGGTGAACCACGTCTACAAATGAAAAAAAGAGAAGTTGAGAAAAAAATGTACGACATAGATTTAGGATAAACATACTAATTATGGTATTTTAGAGGATATCAAGTTAAAAAGATTTTAATTACCAAATAAGTATGTATGTACTATGAGGAAACTCAGAAAACCGTTCTATATTGTAAGTCATGCAAACACAGAATGATATGATTTGTTGAAAAACTACTAGCACACAGACAGTCTGTAAAATTGCACAACTTCAGTAAGAATACATAAAATACTGAGTGGACAGCTACTCTATATACTTTTGCGCGTCAGTGTTATTATATTATTACCGTCCCCTTGGGTTCCAAGTGGAACATAGGGCTTCAACAACACAACTCCACTTTGCTCTACTTTCTGCTGTCCTCTTCACCTGGGCCCACGATTGCCCATAATCTCGCATCTTCTACCCATATCCCACAATCTCCTCCATGTCACCATCGCACTGAAGATCCACTAGTCGTTTCACATTCGGATTCCACTTCAGCGATGGTCTGTATTGCGCGAGATGTCATTCGACGGTTTACTCAGCGTGTGTCAAATCCATCTCTATTCCTTCCTACATATTTGTGAACGATAGGTTCCTCGTTTGATTGCTACCATAATTTCTTGTTGTTAATTCTTCCCATCCGTCGTTTGATCTTCTGGCTTTGATACTTTCATCCGTTCCCACTGCCTGTGATTTAAACAATGCTATTTTTATTTATTTATTTTTTTATTACAGCTTGATTCCACACTGTATTTTTGGTACAAGTATGGAATTTTCAGCATGGATATCGGTAGCCCAAATCTTGCAAGCCGACCATAAATATCAGGTGTGCGTCGGCAGGGGATCGAACCTCGAACCATGTGCATGGTCGGCGAGAGTCCTAACCGACGCTACCGACGCATAGAAAAGGAAGTGAGTGACCACTTCCAAGTTTCCCCCGTTGATGGTTATCGGTGTTGTTTGTTGTTGCTGTTGGTGGTAGTGGTTGGGTATTTTCATCACCTCCGTCTTCTCTATGTTTACCTGAAGTCCCGTCTTCTCTGCTCGCCTCTTCTTCCAGTCTTTGAGTCCGTGTGACACTTAACATAAATCATCCATGCGCCAAATCCACCTCTTCTACAGTCTTCTTATCGGTTCACAGTATTCATGTCTTTTCACTCCAATGTACAGTCTCACGCATAATCCAGTCCACAACAATTAGGAATATTATCGTGGGTGATAGCAGTCAGACAGCCTTGTCTTACTCCTGTCTCCACTTCGAACGCCTCGATGAGTTTTCCTTTGTGAACCACTTCACATGTAGCACTACCATACAGGTGTTGAATGAAGTTGATATAGGTTTGGGCACTGTACGTCATGGTGTTGAAGTTGCTACCAAATCACTTCGCGGTAGTTCAATAAAATTATGCTCGCCAACCACAACAGTGGTCCAGTTCCTATTCCCAGTCGACGCAAACATTAAAACTTGCGTAGTTTACTAACCGGTAGTAAGAATGAAAAAGACAGACGGTTGACTACGAAACTCGCAATGCCAAAACCGTGAAAACAATATCACTACTGACGAAGTGATGTGATGGTGTGATACACAACACAATGGGTTCCAACGGAATATTATTCTCACGGTAAGATTCATTGTATTTGTTGGTGTTAACGTCTGAATACTATTCTCACAGTTCAACACTGCATTAGCAACAGAATACTATATATACTCGAACATTCTCTTCCATGTCGTTTAATGCAAGCCAAAATCACACGTCCAGTGATTGGTTAAAGAATATAAAGTGTATAGATATAAATAGCTGTTTAATCATTTCAAAATATACCTTGGCTTCTGCTGTTACATTTGAAGCCTTCTGTTCCACTCAGAACGTGAAATAATGTAGAAAATATTGTATTTTAGGATTTCTTAACACTGTGCAGTCATGATTTCAGGCCAGACCTAATTTAGATCATTTAAATGTCACCAATGAGATAGCCGATTATTGAATAAAACAGCCAGCTTATTATAACAGTAGTACCCACTGTTCTATTACAAAATTGCAAATAATGATTATTGAAATTGAGGTGTATGTGTGTTTACACGTTGTTATTCCCCGTATCCACTGTTTGAATATGGGATAGACTCACAAACAAAATTAATGGCGAAGTTAAGATTTCAATCATTATTTAAATACAGACTCGGTAGTGTATGCATACCACCGAAAATAACCGAACAATAACGGTGTTACGGTAGAAGGCAAGAGACTTGACAAAAAAATGATTATTAGGAATCTGGTATCTCTATGTAGCCAAATTATGTACACCTTATGTTCAAATCACCATTTGCACATATTATTCGTGTTGTGCTACTTCTGGCCTTCATATTGTGTTTCTTTGTATTTTTCCTTATTTTTGATTATAGCTCGATTACACACCGTAATTTTGATACAAGTGTGGTAAGAACTGTCTGATAGCCGAAATTGGTAGACAACAATTTACGTCAATAACTTACGTCCCAAATCGGGGTCATGAGGAAAACAGTAACACAGCTTAACCTTGAGGAACTCAACAACCAATCACAGCAGATTTAGCGTGGGCGGATACGACTAGCAGATAAATCAATGGGCTACCTAGGAAACGGCAACAAAGAGATGACAGAATAGCCTTCAGAAAAAAACAACAACAAATCAGAAGACGCTGCTTCTCTGCTAACAATAACGAATAATAATGTACATGAAAATCTATAAATATCTCTTGATTTTCTCAATAAACGATCTGTTGCCTGGCCCTTGTCTTCTGTCGATACACAAGTATGGATTTTTCAGCATGTGAGGTCGGTAGCCTAAATTTTGCAGGTCGAACACTGATACCAGGTGTGCGTCGGCGAGAGTACTAACCGCTGTGCTACCGACGCACATGTAACATCTCAATCGACCAAAAAATTCACAACTTCATTCAATAGCTTCAAAAACAGATTAGATTACATTACATCAATGTTAATAATCAAAGTTCAACCTTGTTAAACTGTTAGAAAGGTTTCTATCAAACTAGTTAACTACAGTTATTACTTAACCTCTAAACATAGTTTAAGCGTATGATATTATGACCCTTTTTCTCAGTTTGATATGATTTTATATTCTGGTTTAACACGCACAAGGAATTATTAAACGAGTAAACTGTGTTTAATAAACACATGTATTGAACTTTTCAGATAAATTATGGTTTTTTGTTTCTTATCTTCATCGTAGAAACATTATTATGAACTACTGCCTAGTTTTTTTTAGGAATATTGTTACGATGAAGATAAGGACGTGTGGAATGTGCAACAGCCTCCAAAGCCTCAGGATGGTCGGGGGTGGGTGTTTTGCGCTGCGGGCTAGCCACCCCTCCGTACACCTCTTGAAATGCTCCCATATGACCGTGCGTCTTACATAGCCTCTCCTGAGGAAGTCCTACTCACTGCCTTCACGTGGCGGAGGTGTTTCTCACCGAAGTGAGAGGGCAAAAGCGGATGCCCGGCGCTCTTCACCGGGTTGACTGTCCATTGGATGACAGTCTAGGGGAGATGGCTAAACCCTGATTCCAAACCTCCAACGACTGGCGTATGAAGCTCACCGGAGTTCACCGACAGACGTATGGACAAAGAGCTTATTGGATGCCCTGGATGTCTGGCCCCATTCAAAAAGGCGTATGAACCGGACTCCGGTCACCGGCTGCCAATGGATAGTGGACTCCCTACTCCACTCCTACTGCCTTGTAGGTCACACTTGGTTGTGTAAAGGCTAGAGCTGCACTCTCAAACAAAAGGCCGAGCGATGCTGGGGACATCACTCGTACCCAATTCCCATGAAACTTCATCAACTCTCTTACAAACATTCGAGATGTTCATGAAGCCGGTTCATCCTCCCGTAGGAGATAGCCGAAGTAAAGTAAAGTAAGTAAGTAATGTGCAACAGTTTACTTTGTCCTCCTTTTGTGGCTGTGATATATGGCCATTGGAAGTGGAAGATATGAAAAGGTTAACTGTCTTTGACTAGAGATCTCTACAATCTATCCCCTGCGTTACTCACTGGATATGGTGAGTAATGTTGAGTTTAGGCACAGAGTGTTAGGGGTAAGAAGGTTAGGTCAATCCACGAAGTTATGAAGCTATATCGGTTGAGATAGCTAGAACACGTCTTTCGCATGTCAAGCCACCACCTTCCTCAACGAGCTGACAAAGGATCAAGACTGGGAAAAGGCTACGGATGGTCAAACCAGAATCTGCAATAGGTTCACGAGGTCTTCGACAGTTGATTTGACCCTACGTGCGATTGACGTCCTCGAGACAGCTAAGAAATAATGGCTGGAGTCTATTGATGATCATATCGTACAAAATTGTTCTCAATGGCACAGATGCCATTCACATCCATATCCATTCGACCCTCATGCTTTTCCATGTTACTATTCTTTTTCTAAAATATTTATGCTGGTTATTGTTTTTTGAACATCTTTTCCTCTTCCGCCTCTCTACCTTTGTTGAGAATACATGGAGGGTGGCAACTTGAACTGATGCACTTCTATACAAAGAGGGATACTGAAACCCAGACGCCCAAAGTGAAATATGTGGAGAGATTCTAACATGAGACCCACTATGGCCTGAAACATGACTGCTTACGGTGATGAGCTAAACCTCTACAGGATTGATATTAGTCCCCTTTCACCTTAGGTATGTCAGCGATACAGACCAACAGAACTAAGAAGTAATATTGCCATACTAATGATTTCGAGATTGAATAATATTTCAAACAGTTTTTATATTGAATCAGTAAAAACCAACACTTTTCATGAACCGACATCACCTAAAGAACCATTTCAAAATCTAAAAGTGGTATGCAGCTATTTCATTCATGTGTACAACTGGCTGGGAGTAACAACCCACAACCTAGTGCTATGAGTTTATTAGGTGTTTGAGTTTAATCGAACCACCACGTTACCAAAGTGCAGATTAGGAGGACTAATAAGTGGTTGTATTCCTATTTTTCTGATAGGGAGGCAGTACGCTGTCTACAATGGGAAGTTCTCCACTGCTTCACTTAGTCTACCTAGTGTTCCTCAACGAGCTGTTCTTCCACTACCTTCTGATCTCTTTCTTCTTACATGAATTCCATCATTTTGACGAAGCCAATTTTGTTAAGCATGCCGATGAACTGACTGTTTCTATGCCAACGGTCACTTCTCAGTTAGACTGTTTCAAAACGAATAACTTCTTATCAGAAATTAGTCAGCGGTTCTCGTCACACGGTTTTTTAGCTTAATCTCTTCAAATGTCAGGTGCTTGATTTCACTCACAGATGCAAGTGCGATTCACGCGAACGGGTTGATTTACACCCTTCCGCAATTGTAGATGGCACTGAAGTTGAAACTAAATCTAATTTCAAATAGCTTGGACTCTGATCACCTCAGATCCGAATCTTCCCACATAATGTTAGTTTCCAGGACGATATTTCATTTGACGTTCTAAGTAAGGGAGTTAAGACTATCAAGTATCATTCCATATCTACTTTCTAAGTCTGCTAATTCTTGTATTCTGCTCATGCTTCTTTACTGCTCCCCTACTAACTAAAGAAAAACTTTGTTATATTGCGAAAGGCGCTAAAAGCCGTTAGCAGGGCGAGTGGCGTATTCCCAAACTAACTGGTTAATACTATTGTAGATAGACACATGAACTTCTGCAAGAAATTAATAAATATTATCTTATCAGACTCTGAGCATCCTCTGCATACACAACTCTCCCCTAGAATCTAATAGAGTAGAACTAGAAGCAACTTTGGAAGACTGTATTCTCGGACGACTAAGTACAAAAGCTCTATAATACCTTATCCGGCAGGTACACATTTTAAGCGATGAGGAGAGTGTAAGGCAGGAAATTACCAAAACTACTGTAGGACTTTAACTACACGACCCTATTTGTTTTCATTGTTACATTGTTGTTAATATTTCCATTTAGTTTAATTTTATATTTATTTTCTTACTGAACCATACTGTTGATATGAATGCTCCGTTCTAATTATTAACCTTGTGATGAGAAAATTATGTGCAATACTGTACTATTGCAACGACAGACAACAAGGGCCAGGCAACAGATCATTTACTGAGGAAATCAAGAGATATTTATAGACATATACATTATTATTCATTATTGTTAGCAGAATGGTATTGTCTCCTGATTGGGTTTTTTTGCTGAAGATTATTCTGTCATCTCTTTGTTGCCGTTTCTTAGATAGCCTATTGATTTATCTGCTAATAGTATCCGCCCACGCTAAGTCTGCTGTGATTGGTTGTTGAGTTAGTCTTTGTTCTTGTCTTTCTCATGACTCCGATTTAAAACGTAAATATTGACGTAAATTGTTGTCTACAATTTTGGCTAGCAGACAGATCTCACCACACGATCACATGCTGAAAATTCCATATTTGTACCAAACTACTATTTAGAATAAAGCTATCATTATTACTGTTAATAAGGTGTCTCAAGACAGTTAACTCAGTCTATACAATTATAAATTTCAATCAATTAAGGTATTTGTGAAATACTTATTTCACATGCCTAACAACAGTCTATCTAAACAAGCTAATGTTGACAGAAGGCCTAAGCGAACTAATCCACCTGGTTAACGACCATTTGACTGATGATCAAAGTAGCACAGAGAAGAGGAGGTGCGCGGATAAAATATGCAACGGTAAGAACCAACAAGCATAAAGGTTAGATAATATCCTGCTAATATTATAATGGTTACCAAAAACAAACAAACTATATATGCAGTAATAAAGCAAATTTAACTATTTCTTAATTTCATTGTTTTCAATTGGATTATATACAGAAAACTCTGACTAACCTTGCCACTACACATTCTCCAGGATAATAACTACTCTTACACGCCAATGCAAAGGATCCCTCCTACAGAAAAACAAAAAAATTGTATTAACAGTAGAACAACAGAGAAGGTGAAATATTACTATGACGACCTATGCTGTAGAAATATTATCAGATAAGAAAAATAAATAACCAATAACAAAAAATGGTATAAAATACGCTTAGTTAGGCATATTAGTATCTATAAACGACCAGAATAGTAGTAATTAGAACCTACTACAAAGCCTGCTTCGTTTTTTCTTTTCTTTACTTCAATCTTACCAAATTTAACAGTGCAGCCTACAAGTGCACAATTGACTGTGTAAAATTGATAAATTCCAATTACACCCCTACAAAAATACTACTACTATTTTTATTATTATGGCATTTGGTAGAAGAATAGCTTGCTAGGCAAAATTATATACAGCTATGGTGAAGTATAAAAATCATACATTGAAATGTCTAATTTTTATTAAAAAAAAGGACTTAATCTATTCTACTTCGTTTGCCTTCATTTCGTGTTTGCTGTATTGTTTCACAAGTATCTTTCACCTCTCCCCTTCGCTATTCTTGCAGAAGACGTCACTGATATACGACGACTTATAAGTTCGTGTCATCAGTACACGCCACACTAGCCTCTGTCGTGTATTCTCCTTATGTCTTGGTCCTGACTTATTCAACTTTCTAGATCCATCTGCAAAGTTGACTGGCGCCAACAAATTTCCGTCTGTCTCCTCTTCTGACGACTACATCTCTTGGTGATTGAGTATGGTCTTTTCTATGTTGCTGTGTACTTTCGCTATGCTTCACTTGATCTTCTTATCTCCCTGCTCAAATTATGTAGTGTCATTCCTCCGTTTATACTTTACATACGGATCTGGTCGCACTCTCTGGGGGGGGGATGATTTAAATTGCGAAGCTTTCATTGTCCTTCTACACAATATCTTCAGTGCAAGCTTTATTATGAAGTGAACTTATTTAAATTCTCCATGAATGATATAATTGTACCTTCCGACAATCTTTGCCATAATCGGTAGTCAATTTCCCTCTGTAATGATCACTTTTTTATTGACGTGAAATTTGAATGATTTCACTTCCGCTAGTCACCTCTTCATCCTTCAAGGCTGGTACTGTGAACAGGTGTTATTGTGTAATTTCTTTTTTGTTTCTTGGGTAGGAGCACGATGTGTTAGTAGAATCTGCAGAAGAATCACCCATACGGAAGAAATGACTGACTCAACAATGGTGTTAAAAATCTGAATCTTGTTCTTTATGCTTAGTGGAGAAGATTTCTAAACTGATTTCAGAATGATAAAGGGGTGATGTCTTGCCTTTCCTATCTCCCTAGCTTTCACATTTTCATCCGTTCCCACTGTCTGTGGTTGAAACAATGCTTCCTACATTAGTAAAGGAAGTGAGTGACCACTTCCAAGTTTCCCCCATTTATGGTTATCGGTGCTGCTTGTTGTTGCTGTTGGTGGTTGGTTATCTTCATAACCTCTGTCTTCTCTACGTTTACTTGGAGTCCTGCCTTCACTGCTCGCCTCCTCTGCCAGTTTGTTGGTCTTCGTTTGTAAGTCTTCGACGTTTTATGCCACCAAACATAAATCACCCGCGAAATCCAAATCTCCTTGAGTCTTCTTACCCGTCCAGAGTCTTCCTGTCTTCTGGCTCCCTTGCTCAGTCTGAAGCATAATCCAATTCACCACAATTAGGAATATCATCAGTGGTAGCAGGCGGGCAGCCTTGTCTTACTCCTGTCTCTGCTTCAGAAGCTTTGCTGAGTTTCCCGTAGTGGATCACCTGACATGTGGCCTTGTCATATAGCTAGCTGTCAAATGAAGCTGATAAAGACTTCGGTACCTTACGCCATAGTGTTGAAGTTACCTCCAAATTACTTCTCAGTCAACACTGTCGAAGGCCCGTTCAAAGTCGATGAAATTGATGTGCAGACTTGACTGCCATTCGATGATGATGATATATAAAGTTGCAATTAGATCAACACATGATTTGCCTTTCCTGAATCCAACTTGTTTCGGGCTAGCAGAGTTTTGCATCCAGCGCATTTTTATTCTCTCCAGGACTTTTTACTTTTTTTACTTGTGCGTCGAGGTTTCTGTAGCAGTTTGGTTGGTTTTCTGGGGTAAGGTCGCTAGCCCTACGCCCAAACCTCCCTATTTTTCCGGGCTTGGAGCCATCTAGAACGAAAAGGGAACTAGTTAACTAGGCGAGGTACTATTGTGTTTTATAAAATTAATATATAATGGATAAACGGAATGTAAGATGGTAAGATTAACAAAACAAAACAACTGAAATCAACGTAAATGGAACAAAGCTGAGTTTAATGAACCTAAAACTGTCAGTTATTAGAACTCCACAATCATTGAACACACAACTGTTAGGAAGGAAACCTAAACAGCAAAACAGATTTGATGTTACTTCTTATTAGCATGAATACTGTAAAGTAGAAGGATAGAGAGAGAGAGAGAGAGAGGGAGAGGATGAACAAATGTATACTTCCTTCACAATTTAACTTACCAACTGATGTGCCACTAGCTCTACAACTTCCAAAAATGTAATTGGATTTTCCTTATGTGAATCATAAATCATTTGCATAAATTTCGGTATCACTTCTGTATCAGTATCCGATTCAAAAGTAAAACCACGTCGTTTCTGTAAATTAATCACAAGAAAAGAAAAACTAAGATGAAAAACAAACACAGTTTCGACGGCAGTAAACCAGTAATAGACTATCAAAAGGCGACTTGACATGAGAACTGTCAGAATTTCATCATGAAGTGACATAGGTTAAAGAACCGTTAAAAAACCTGGGAGTACTGGACAGCCGTCTCGTCCTAGTTCAGGACTCTTCATCTGTATCCACCCACTGGGGTTCAAGCCCAGGACCCTCTGGTTACAAGGTAAAATATCAGAAATGCCAGTCATTCAGCTATTGTAATCATCACACTGCTACATCAATATCATCGCTTTGTCATTTAATTCTAAGAGGTGATACGGCTAAGAGTGCTGATATTCGCACAAATCTGTAAAGTGTTACCACTTAAAAATGGCTTGTTTAACCTTCCTCAAAACGTGTAGTGTAGTGAATATCTGGTACTTTGACACAGTCCACTTTTTTCTACTACATAGTTGCAAAATATGGTTATTGAAAGGTAAGTCTTAAAAGGCACCAATTATCAGGCCATTATTATCCTTGACACAATCCTCAAGTTTGGCAAAAGCCAATACGTCAGAAATATTTAGGTTTGACTTAGTGTCCAAGGTAAAACATATCAGTTGATGGTGTTACATGTCTCAAACAACCTAGGGAGAGAGAGAGAGAGTGGGAACATTTACCTCAGTTGTAGGTTAACAGAAGTAGGAGTGTTGAAATAAAGGTGCGGTAATTTAAACTAAGACATCCTGCAAGACCATTAAATTATAGGCTGTTTGTCTGAAATGTATACATGAGGGTCAAACAAACTCTGAAATACACTAATTATAAATGTTTAGTTACATTGCAAACGGGACTGCTAAAATCTAATCAACACCCCAGGGATAAAGAGATATAGGTCTTTATTTTAATTAAATCACTGCAATTTTTTTTCTATTGTTTTGTCTTCCTTTCTTTTATTTTAAAGCATCCTATGACTGCATGAATTTCATATAGATTTCCTCCATTTCTGTTAACTTTTACACGAAATGCTGACGACGAAGGCACAGTTCTAGAGTCTGTGTTCAAAGTATCTATCCATCCACTTTTGAAACAATCAATGATTGCCAGTTACCTGGACCATTAAGAAAATCAGGCAAGATACTATAGAACAATGCAAGTTGGTATTAAGACTAAATTAAAGTTTAATAACTGTAAGCATCCATCGACCAGAAGTGTTTACAATTTCAAGAAAAAACTCATATTCCCTCTGAGATTTCAGTGTTTGCTAATCAGTGCCATAGTTGTCGACTTTCTTACCCAACTATTTAAGTCACAGCTTGCTCCATGTAGACCTGGTCGATAATCATGACTTAGTTGTCAGTGTTTGGTCGACCAACTTCGACAAACGGGCACTTGCGAATAGCAGTTTCACATGTGCTAAAACTCAGATACCAATTAATGTACTATATATATATATATATATATATATATATATATATATATACCAATTGGTATTAATTGGTATATATATCAATATATATATATATATATATATATATATTGACAAAATTGCGATTAGCTCAATAGTGAAAATAAAGATATGAATTTTAATGGAGTCTAGTTTCGAGGACAATCTACCACTAATAGTCGAATTGATTAAACAGCAAACAAAGGTTCTTTGAACATCTACCCTCTTCTATGTGTTTTTCTGAATTGGAATCTGATAAACAAGATTGAAACACACTAAGCATTACTTTGTGAATAGTAATAAACCTATATGAGCCAAGACCAATATACAAACTTATAATACGACAACTGGATAGATGAATGTCATGCACGGCTATTAAAAAAAAATCAACTTCCAACCTAACGAAGTATGGTAGAACAACTGATTACGCTGACCACTATCCATTTATTTGGTATGCGTCCTATTGGGCTTGAAGGTGAAGAAATCTAAGTATGGATATACAACTGACTGTCTCGAGTCAGTGGTAATTGCTGACAAGCATGAAACTTAGGTAGAATAGAGCGTTCAGGTTCTACCACTGATTGATATCAGTTGGAGAACTACTGAGAACCAGGGAATACTAGACATCTGGTTCATCCTCCTTCGGGACATTTTAGCTATATGTACCGGTGACACCACCCATCAAGGATCGAACCCAGAACTTTCAGTTTACGAGACCCATTCAGCCATTGGGACGAAATCCACTAACCCATGAATTTTAACTTCCGTCAGTTCACTTCCCATCATCCGAATATTTAACATCTAGTGCAGTCACACTGTGCTACTTAGCTTAATAATTATACTTCACATCTAACCAACAAATTCCGAGCAATATTTATGATTAGAAAGCTATACTGTCACTATTCCACACCAAATACACACAAAGATGAAATAATTTCCTCCCATGAAGTGAAAAAACTATCACAAAAATAAAATTGAACTTGCCAGCAAAGCTTTGAGATCAACATAATTCGTAATAATCCCGTTGTGGACCACAACAAATCCATTATCAGGACCAGACCTTTGAGGATGTGCATTCACTTCATTAGGTTCACCATGAGTTGCCCAACGAGTATGCGCTATACCGACATGAGTTGTGATTGGTTCATTTGGAAGATCAGCATCAGTTAAAAACTCTAAATATAAATTGGAAAACAATGACATTATTATTATTACTTAGAAACATTAGTAAATAAGTTGGCACAATTAAAACAGAATCGCCTTTCGTTTGGCGGAGATTATAGCTGAAGAACTTTTTGGCATTATTCCACATTTTATCATTTCTTATAAAACTTCAGAATAAACTAAACTCTTTCACTTTAGTAAAATTGTCTGTAGAAAGAATTTTTAGAAAGTTAGCAAAAGGTAAAAATACAACAACAAAAAACAAGAAACTTACGTTTAACTGCTTGTCCTAATGAAGCCACTTTGCCTTTACAACGTACAACTCGTATAAACGTATTATGGCTGTCATCAGTGCATAAACCATTTTTTTCTGGGCAAACAGCATCTATTGCTAGACCTGCTGAATCGTAACCACGATATTCAAGTCGATGTAAACCATTGAGTAAAGTGTTTACAATGACTTGACGACTAACTGGGACTTGATAATTAAGGTATGCAAATATTCCTATAAAGCAAAATTAGTGAAACAAATATATGGGATTAGAAATACCAAAAAGAGGAAGAGAACTATGACACAACTATCCGGGAAAAAATATTGATAAAGACACTGACTACTAAAAATGTGCACATTGTAAATACATACATAAGTCAGAATGCAGCTTTGTGCTGAAAACTCACCAGTTTAATTTGCTACGCCTCACTAGAATGGTAGATAGATAATAATATTAAAACCAACCGTCGAGACAATGAACTACTCCGCACAATCATTAACTGTTGGCTTGAACGGTACTGTCAGAAAACTTCTTGGCTCTAAATCAATCCATCACATTGACTGATGACTTAAAATTGTACAGTTGTACTTCAAGTGTTCTAAACACTCGATTCATAATTGATACTTCATACATTAAAACCTACTTCACACCTTACTTCAAGTTCTGATAACTGATAACGTTATTAATTCTTAAGAAATAACTAAGAGAATTATTTTACATTATACATCTGTAGTCTAAATTTAGAACATCCTAGAGGCCTGTAAGCTTTTTGTGATGAATCAATAAATCCTGATGCAAATTTTAATCTTGTTTTGAGTTTGGATATTTAAAATTTAAGCGGTCTGCAGCCAGCACGTATCTAGAAGCACATTACTATGATTTCTTTGCTGCAATCAACTTCATACCTAAAACAATAACGCTTGTGCGTTTGAAATTGATAAGCAGAGTTCAAATCTTTGTTAAAACTATTAATTTCTAAAACTCAAGTACCTTTCAGTGACTCAAAGTCGATTCACAGTTTCACTACTATTGTTAAATACTACTCAAACCAGTTAGCTAACCCCTCAAAATTAACACAAGTAATAAGTAGTATAAATGAGGCTTCGATATGGATCGATAACAGTCAAAGAATAGGGATGGAGAGACGTTACAGGAGATTGAAGAAGTAACAGTGTTACTCAATGGTGAGCAAATGATTACTCCCTGGAAAATATTTTCGACATTAATGACAGTCAGTATTGTTATCATCAAAAAACAGAATAGCGGTAAGCTGTTGGGAAGTATGAATGACAATCAATTCAGTTAAATTTAAACTACCCTTAAACTTCTAAAAGCTCAGTCAAAGCACGAAAAAGTACTATTATCAACCCATTAGCGGTGAAGCCAGCTGAGTAGGCTGTGAAAAAGTAAAGTGAGCTACAGTATCCACTTCCTATAACCGATTATCGCGAATTTTTAAGGGTTTTAGAACTACTATTACTACTTGCCACATGACGATAAAAAACAAAAATATAAGAAGCGAATATGTGCCAGGAATCAGCTATACGTGTAGATGTGGGTCATTAGCTTAAGCATTCGATTTTAAGCGGATATGCCCCGGATTCGAATGCCACTCCATCTACTTTAACCTGAGCAACTTGATAGTATCATTAGCTGTGACACAAGTGCGATCCATAACCTGGTAAATTAAAAATCTGTTCCAGAGTACAAGAACGTTAGCCATCCGTTAACAAAAGAATCCAGGAAACCTACAGATATATACCAACTGTATATTAAAAGGATAAATAGCAGGCATATATTTTGAACCGATGACTATAGCAAGTACGTAAGGGGTATCTGTCGTTACTTATCTTTAATATTATCGTAAGTGGTAAAATCCATTGCTGTCCTTTTTAGAGTGCACACATGGTATTATACTACTAGACGAAAACTAATAAAACCTCTACAATTATTGCCACCTTTCGAATGCAATATAACCGTTCCATTTACCTTTTGCAGACATTTAAAAGAAAGAAGTCAGTTCAGTGCGTTGACCACACTAATTTTAGACTGAATAAATTTAAATATGCTGAGGGTCGATGAAATATCCCAATGAACACAAAAAGTTGTCTTTTTCTAACTACCAATAAAACGTTAGTGATGACAACCGTGAGATTGCTAAACAGAAACACTATTCACTGCAATTCAGTAATGAAATACGGAAAGTTAATAGCCGCTTTAAGATTCAGTTTATTTTCAGAGAGTAGTTGTTATTCATCGAAGCAGTAGAATAAACGAAAATTCCAAACGAGTCATCTAATATTTTGGCTCAGGTTGCGAACTTTCACCAGCTAATATTGCTGAGAGAATTTAATATGTTGTTTGCGATTTAAAAACTAATCTGTGAAAGCATTAAGACAAGCAAATCAGTAACCTGCAAGCTATATTTGAAAAAATTACTAATATAACTAAAAATTGATTGCAGCTAATTTGTTGTAATCCTGTTTTGTTTTCATCTCGCTTAAAATATAACCTTTATTTATTTGTTTTGGCTGCTTCAGTTTTCTAACGGACGTTCGCCTGTTGATTTTCTCGCACTTTATTTAACTTAAATTACTTCCCACTAGTTGGGAACTACTTGATCTTATTTTAACACTGTCTATGTTTAACTCACTTTTGAAAAAAATATTCTAACAAACTAGCGGTGGAAACACTGAAATGAATAACACGCAAACTCACTGATACTTTAACATTATGTGAAAGAAATAAACAGTCAGTGTAATGTGTGGGAGGCTGACAATTTGCCAATGCTAACAGCTTTTCACCAGCACAGAATATTGTTCAGAAAGTGAGGATGCCAAAAAACATGATAAAAAAGAAACAAAACAAAACCTGGTTGCCAAACATAAGGTTGACTGATAGTGACAAGAATTTCACGAAAAATGATTCTGAGAATCTCGATAGGCATTATTTATCAATAGTTTATTATTATTTATTATAGTTTGTTTATTATTATTTACCCTCAAGCTTTGTGAGAGTGACGTTACCAGTCAAGATAAGAGACTACATGCGTATTCCTTAGTCATTATAGGAAGCTTTATTTAGCATATATCACTTAAGGATAAATAGCTTTGAAGAACGAACAAGGCCAAGAATTAAAAAGTAAACTGATAAAGAATAACAGCTACAAACACAGTTTAGTAACATGTTTGACGGCAGACAATTGCCCAGAATTATTAACCACAGCACTCATCACTAAACATTACATGCTGACCCTCACTGTTTAAGTCGACTTGTTTAGCTGAAGGCTTGTGGTCAAGCATCTACACCATTTTGCACACCACTGTACTACGTTCGGTTGTTCGTGCATGATTCCTAGCTGGTCACACAATCATCCTCGCACTATGATTTTGGTCCCGAATACGTCTTCGTGAATCACTGGCATACAAATTATTGCAGATAGTAAAATACAGCCAGAGGACTATCAAACGAAACAGTATGAATTGTTTGTCATGCGGATTGATGCAAATGGAGTTGGGAAACTTTTTTCCTATGGACAAGATATCTGGAAAATCGCTAGTGGGTATTAAAACAGCATTGAAGCAAACTGGGGAACAGAATGAGAACGAGATTATGATACTTAGCGATAAACGGCATATAACAGCTGAACGAAGTAAAAGAAACTAATCCACACTCAAACCAATTCAACAAACCTGATTCAATACAAATCAATGCTTTAGACTTTTCAGTGTTACCACTTTTTCCAATATTTTAATTCACTCGCGTAGCGTAAGGAATGATAAAGTGGTGATGAAACAATCTGAAATACAATCTAAACACATAACCCACAAGTATTTTCAATCGCCAAAAGACGAGATGTAAAAGTGTGCAACCACTGTACTGCATACCACAAGGAAAATACAGTTATTACTGTTATGCCAGCATTTTAACTGCTGACGCGTGAATATACATACAACAACGAGCTATATGGATTCCTTCAAAATAAACAGGTTGCTTTCTCCGTATGAACATTGTCTCAATTCTAAGCTTGTACGAAAGCAAAAAATTATGACGAATTGTATGTATACTAAGTATATTTAGTCTTACTTCACAAGGATATGGGTGGAGAATCACTCACAGCATATCAATATATCCAGAATATCATGGTGCAACAAAATCACAACAGACTCCTACTGAAACAGACATCTATAAACATTACAACAGCTTTTAGGGATTATTGTGGCTTCTATGGGAAACACTTGTGGCATCTAAAAATTTGAGCAAAAATATACTCATTCACCACAAAAACGTGAGATTATATCTCTAACAACAAGTGTGAAGCCTTTAAAATTATTTACTTAACAGTAGGCTACCAACTTACCACACATTATGAGAAGTCGAAGTACCGAAAGACTGCTTTATCGCGCCTAAATCTCTTTCCAATATCCAATATCCAATATCCTGATGACGAGCTAGTATAAACCAGTGATTTCTTTGAGCTCGCTTCTTGATTGTGAGGTAGAGGTTCCAGATCTTCGGTGAGCTTCTGCGTAGTAAGTCCCGACACTCGACTGCTTTAGCTCTGGTAGACTCCAGGAGGAGTGGTGCGGGGATTGGTCGAGATGTGGCTTGTAGTATGCAGTATGTTAGGACTGTATTGCTGCCGTGAATGGAGTTTGACCTAACTCCCCTTGGTCATTCTGTGTAGTCATAAAAGCAGAATAGTAATAATAATAATAGGTTGTAGTGTAGATAATATAGGTTGAGATAAGTGGAATAATAAAGGTGACCTAAGGAAAAGATAGAGTGAGAGAAGGCAGAATAGGTCGTGGGGATTTAGTTAGTACGCTTATTCATTGACAGTTTGGTTTCAAATTTTATGAGGATAAGCCATTGAGACACAAACCTTGCATTTCTGCATGATTGTCTAGCTTCCGCTTAAAAATCTCCACAGATGGCGCTGTAGTCACGGCCGCCGGTAAAGCGTTCCAGAGACGGCAAACACGAAGCGAAAAGAAATGTGATCGCACTCGAGTCTTTGGTCTCTGGTGTGCTATCCTTAGCGGGTTACCTCGTGGAAGCCTATAATCGCTTAATGGCAGGATGCTTTTATTTGGGTGGGCCTGGTCATTTAGGATCTTGTAGACGGTGATGAGGTCTCCCCTGTGCCTACGGTAACTGAGTGTGAAAAGACCTAATTTCTTTAGTCTTTCCTCATATGATTTGTTGCGGAGGCCGATCACCCATTTCGTCGCTCGTCTCTGAACACTTTCTAGAATGTTAGCATCCCTTTTGAGTAGCGGAGGTGCAATGATATTATGCACCTCAAGGTGTGGCCTCACATATGCCTTGTATAGCCTTAAGAACAGTTCGGGAGTGAGAGCTCCCAGCTGCCTGTGCATAAAGTGTAATGTTGCGTAGGCTTTGGCGACGTCCCTCGAGTAATTTCCACTGGTGTCTAGCTTTTCTGTTAGAATAAGACCTAGATCACGCTCTGATGGAACACAACTCAAGTTCTGGCCACCAAGGGTGTAATTTACACTCTGTGACCTGCCGGAATGAAGCTGCACTACTTTGCACTTCTTTAGGCTGAAAGGCATTCCGTTAGCCAAAGCCCAATTTCCCAGAGTTTGCAGGTCAGCCTGCAATCTATCTGAGTCTTCCGATGAGTTTATTGCTCTCCAAATCTTTACGTCGTCAGCGTAAAGAAGCGCAGAGCAGTTTAGTTGGGAGGGCAGGTCATTGATAAAAATCAAAAACATCAACGGCCCTAGGATAGAACCCTGAGGAACCCCTGATGCCGAGGTGTGCCAAGATGATCGGATGCGGTTGACTTTGGTGCAGAATTCTCTCTCGCCTAAGTAATCTGTCAGCCATGCGAGAAGTGCTCCAGAAACTCCCGCCTTGCCTATTTTGTGAAGGAACAGACCATGGTGAACTGTGTCGAATGCTTTCGCAAAGTCGAGAAAGATCACGTGGGCTGGTACCTTTTTGTCCCAGGATAGTGTCCAATCGTTCCAGGCTAGTAGAAGATTCGTCACGCAGGATCTTCCCCTCCTGAAACCGTGCTGTGCTTCGTGAAGAAGGTTAGTCCCATCGAAGTATTCTCTTTAACGTACAATGATGTGCAGTAGTAATAATAATAATAATTTTCGCTTTATTCCAAGAACAGTACTAATGATACAGCAAGGAATTTTCAGCATTCAGTACAATATTGCATCTATTTACTCAAAAACGACAAAAAAATTAAAAATACACACTACATAATAGTAATAAAACGATTGTTATAGCAGCTACGTAGCAAAATACTGTATGCCATACGGAGAAAATATGCATAAGGTATAAAATTGTGGTAATAATAGTAATACCAACTAAAATAAAATAGCAGAGTAACAGTTGAACGATAGAAAGTGTGACACCATAAAATACAGAAGGATGAACGATGAAAGGGTCGATTCACTGTGCTAATTACATAGTTAGTAACTTGTAAGTTTCACGTCTAACAGAGTCTTCGTCACATAAAGTACGGGCTAAATAGGGTATTGTAGAATTTCTATACTTAGTGGTACGAGCATATAACTTTTTATATTGACTTCTCGTCCTACCTGATGAGATACAAGGGGACAGGTGTGAATAAAGGGGGTGCAGAGGGTCTGACAGTATAGCTTTTGCCCACAAGCTCTACTCACAGCATTTAATACTCTTCGTAATATGATATAATCTTTTTTGAGAAGCCCAGGAAAGATTAATGGAGAGCAGTACAGTACAATAGGTAAAATACAGGAGTTTAAAAATTGCAAAACTAAAGGTTGGTTGATACCTGATTGTCTTAACTTTTTAATGTAGAAGGTAAGACGAAACATTTTCTTAGAGATAGATAAGATATGGGATGACCATGAAAGGTCAGAGGAAAGAACTAATCCAAGGTATTTAATGCTTGATTTGGTTTCAATTTCCGTGCCATCTATGCTACAGGGATCATGCGAGCTAACTAGTTCAAGTAAGTCACGTCGATGCTTGAAAGTAAAGTCAAGTGCCTGACATTTGGAAGGATTTAATATAAGACCATTTGACTTGGACCAGTTGTTGATGTCCAACAGAAAGCTATTAAGTTTGGAGCTGTCAGACTCGGAAGTGATAGGCAGTGATACAGTCAGATCATCTGCATATTTGACAAAGTTAGTTTCGTTTGAATGAGGCAGGTCATGTAGGAAGAAAGAAAAAAGAAAAGGAGAGAGGACAGCACCTTGTGGAACACCGGATTTTGTAAGCGAGGTAGAAGATTTGCCGTTATATACAGTATACTGCATTCTATCAGAAAAATAGGAATGCAACCAACTCTTAGCCCAGGATCCTGTTTGTGTCAACGATAGCTTATTTAACAAAAGGCCCCTAGGTACAGAGTCAAAAGCAGATGTGTAGTCTAAGAAAGCACTACGAACATATTTAGCACCTTTGTCTAAACAAGAGACAACATTGTGACATAAGACAACCGCAGCATCCAAGGTACTTCTACCATGTTTGTATGCAAATTGTTTAGGATCATTAAAAGGTTTCAAAGCGGGTTCAAGACGAAGTAAAAGTAATTTTTCCATCAATTTTAAAAAGGGGGAAGTAATTGCAATAGGCCGAAATTTAATATCAGAACCAGAAGATGGTTTTGGTATAGGGATAATTTTAATGTTTTTCCATGCAAAAGGTAGAACGTTACCGGAAAAAGAAGCATTAAAAATGTTAGTAAGAGGATAACACAAAATATCAGCACAATTCCTGAGGACAATGGCAGGTATGCCGTCAGGACCAAGGCTTTGAGAAGGCTTAAGAGACCGGAGACATTTAAGCACATCAAGGGTATTAAAACCACTAAAGTTATTGTCAATATGATTTGTATCATTTGGAAGGGTATCAACAGAAGAGCGTATGAAAGATTTATTAAGAGTGTCAACATTAAGAGATGGAACAGAAATACATCGCTTACCGTTAGTAATTTCTTTGAAAAGTTTCCATAAATTAGAAGGGGTTTTACATGACAAAAATCTTTGATTATATAAAACATTTAGTCTTTTCATTTCCAGTTTTATCAGAATGTTTAACTTTTTTACACCAGGCTTATCATTTGTTTTGAACAACAGTTCTTTATCTCTACGTAGCTTTTTGAGATATGGCGAAGATAAGCGATCAAATCGAATGAATAATGTTTCTTTAGGACAACATATTTCGAAACAGAATTTAAGATAATCGGTAGTGTTTGTGATTGTTTCATCTAATGTTTGTTCTGTAAATAAGTCCCAGTTAGTGTCTTTCAACATGCATCTGAGCTTGTCTAGGTTGTCTTTTGAGTAGCATCTCCGTTGAACTTTACTGTAGAGGTGAGAGAGGACACCTTTGTGTGATTTGGAATATATTTTAGGCAGTACACGTATGATGCAGTGGTCAGAGTTAAGTAAAGGAGCACGTTTGCGAGCTTCATATATACCAACATCATTGATAAACACTAGATCCAGTTTTTACCAAGACGGGTGGCAAAGTTAACAATATTGTCATGACCAAGTGATATAAGGAAGGAGCAATCGCTTCCATTGAAGTCGCCAGTTACTATTGATAAAGAGTTCTCGAAACAAGCTGCAGCAAAAGCGGTGAATTCATCAGCGAACATAGATAAATCCAATATGGTACAGCCAGGAGAGACATAAACATTAGAAATATAAATGAATTTGTATTTTGACAGGTGTTTCGGGCGACATCTCACAGTGATGCAATCAATGTAGTCATTCGAGAATTTGAAACAAACTTTGTTAGAAATGGACCATTTTGAGTGAATAAAAGTTGCAACACCTCCGCCACATTTTTTCTTGGAACAAACACGGTCTTGTCGGAAAACATTAAAGTTGTTTAGAGACACAATATTGTCATCGTATGAGTCATGGAGCCAGGTTTCTTGTAGAGTGACAATACCAGTATTGTGGTAGGTACTAGATGACAACAGGGACTGAAAATCCAGAATTTTATTAGGCAGGGACCGGCAGTTGGTACTAATGATAACTGGAACAGCGGTGTGATGTATGGGTGTAGATTTTAAGGCACGCTGCCAACCTCCATGGTGCTTTTTCTTGAGTTTATTGAAAATATGAAGGTTTTTGGGTTTAAAACGTTTTATAAAATCCCGGGAGTGGATAATACGATTAGAATGCATAATGTGATATGTAAATACCAATAAAATACGAGTACTAATAGTAAATAGTGAATCCAATGTCCACTGTCGTTTCTACAAGCTAGTGTAAACCAAATTTATTTCTTTGCGCTGGCTTATTCGTTGTAAGACACAGTTTCATGGTCTTCGGTGAACTTCCGCGTAGTTTATCCCGCCACTCGATTGTCGTAGCTTTGG